CCTTGTAGGGCCTTGCCTGCAGGCCTCTGACCATACGAGCGACCCTCCTCTGAACCCTCTCGAGATTCTCTGCATCCCTCTTGAAGTGCAACGCCCAAAACTGGACGCAGTACTCCAACTGCGGCCTGACCAGTGCCACATAGAGGGGAAGCATCACCTCCCTGGACCTGTTTGTCATGCATCTACTAATGCATGATAAAGTGTGGTTAACCTTGTTGATCACTTTGTCACATTCACAACTCATGTTCATCTTGGATTCAGCTATGACTCCAAGATCCTTTCTGCCGCTGTGCTGCTGAGAAGGTCATCCCCCAGCCTGTAAGTGCATTGGTGGTTCTTTTTGCCCAGGTGCAGCACTTTGCACTTGTCTTCGTTGAACTGCATCCTATTTCATTCTGTCCATTTTTCCAACCTGTCCAGATCTGCCTGGATCCGTTCCCTACCCTCTCATGTGTTAACTTTGCCCCATAATTTGGTATCATCTGCAAACTTGGACAGGGTGCTCTCCACGCCTCATCCAAGTCACTGATGAAGACATTGAATAGCACCAGTGCGAGAACCGAGCCTTGCAGGACTCCACTGCCCACATCTTTCCAGGTTAATATCAACCCATCCACCACCACTGTCTGGGTGCAACCCCTAAGCCAATTTGCCACCCACCTGACTGTGTAATCATCTACATCACAGCCTGTCAGTTTATTTATGAGAACAGAATGCAATACTGAATCGAAGGCCTTCTTAAAGTCTAGGTAGATGACATGTACCTCAACTCCTGCGTCTAAGTATTTTGTGACCTGGTCATAAAAAAAAAAAAAAAAATGAACAGAAAAAACAACCACAAGGTTAGTCGGGCAGGATGTACCTGCAATGAACCCGTGCTGATTTCCTTTCAGCATTACTTCCCCTGCTGGGCTCCCACTAATGTGATCCTTAATGATTTTTTTCCAGAGTTTTCCCAAGGATAGAGGTGAGACTAACTGGCCTATCGTTTCCTGGTTCCTCCCTCCTCCCCTTCTTGAAAACAGGGACCGCATTGGCCTTTTTCTCAGTCATCTGGGACCTGACCAGAGCACCATGAGTGCTTGAACAGCCATGCCAGCTGCAGAAAATCAGGTAGGCAGCTACACTGTAGGCAGCATCCTTCAGCAGTTACCTGGGGATTCCCTCAGCAGATCTTAAAGCATTTGACATAGGAGGTCACTCTCCCTGTTTTACAGGTGGGGAAAGTGGACCACAGGGAAGGGAAGTGACTTGACACAAATTTATTTGTGAGGGGCTAGCTGGTAGTGATTTGACCCAGAGGTTTTGTAAGGGTAAAAGATGATTGAAGGGCTTGGGATTCCCTTTCCTCACCAATCCAGCCCCAGAGACTCCCCCTCCATGTCCCCTGATTGGCCCCTTGGGTCACCTGGAGGGGGATAAAAGGGGCAGTGCAGCTGACTCAGAGACCAGCGAGGGACCACGAGGAAGGAGTTTCAAATTGCTGGCAAGAGCTGGGCCAGCGGGACGGGAGCAGTTGCCCCAGAAAAACCTGAAGGAGTGGGACCTGCAGGCAGCAGCTGGACCCTCAGCAGTGCGGTGTGTGGCTGGCAGGAGAGGCTCCTCGCTGGGATCCAGGATCCCTTATGAGAAGCTGCAGCCAGCAGGAGTGGCTCCCTAGCTCCAGCAAGAAGCTGAGCAGGGACCCGAGAGGTTCCCAGCTTTGCTTCCAGCTGCTCCAGCAAGAGGTTGGGAAGGTTGTGAGTCAGGGGCTCCCAGAAGGTCAAAACCCCTAGCCGCTAGGTACAGTACCAGCACTGGTGGCTGTGTGGTAGACTTTCTGCCTACCACATGGGAGATCTGAGCTCAAGTCCCAACTGGGTCAAGTAGGGGTGAGTGAAGTGATGGGGAGAAATTCTTGTTGCAGTGGAAGGGGGTCATTGTGTTCTTCCCTCTTTCTCCCCCCTCCAGATACCTATGCCCTATATCTTTTGTTATTTGACGTTTTGTATTTTGTGCATTTTTATATTTTGCCAACCAGTATTGTTTGTTGTGATGTTTGTGTTTTATACTTGTCAAATGGAATGAATATGTCTACGAATGTAAATGCCTAACCTTTATTGAATTCCGCCCCCTTGGGGCATTATAGTGTCCCCTATGCCCCCTGGTTTATACACGTTATGTTCCCACTACTGTTTTTCTCATTAAAAGGTTTATGGTTAAGTCCCCATTGGTGGTCTGGCTCTGCTCTATAGGGGAGGGAGGGTCCCTACACCTCCCACAGCGCTTGTGCACCTGCTCTGATCCCTTCAATTGGAGAGGGGGTACGTCTTGGAGTACCGCCTGGGTTACATTTTAACTGAGCAGAGCCAAGAGCAGAACTGAAGATGTCTCTACAGTATCCCAGTTCAGGGATCCAACAGAAGCCTGCACTGCCTCGCTTGGTAATAATCCTGTTTTACATTGCTCAGCCCTGAGGATGTGTGAGAGAGAGGTAGCTTGTTCTGAGGGAGAAACTCTTCACAGCTCTTCAAAAAGCCTGAAGAGCTAACAACCTAAGTGTTGCTTGGGGTAGCTGGAAGGATCTGAATAGACTAATGCTGTCTCCACCCTCCCATGGTAGTGCCGACTCAATGGGGCTTGTACAGATCCATATCAATCAATGCACTAGCCTCTCCCAAGGGTGCGCACGTTTGTCTCTTCAGGTAGGTGTGTGTATGCAGGTATATATATGTATTTGTGTGTTCATACTATGTACATCTATCCATGTATGCAAATATATACACACTGTATATGTGCACATATGGGTATGCAGGTATATGCATGCATGTATACATAGAAGTATAGGACCTGTATATGGGTACAAGTGTACACACATGTACTAGTAAATATATGTGCATGCATGTATCCAGATGAGGGTTTATGGGCTTTATGTCAACCTTTTTATTACCCTCTCAAAATGTGTATTTTATATATCTATTGGCTTCACCGCCTGCCCACGAGGAAGATGTGGCAATGCTTCCAGGCCCCGAGGGGTGGGGCTGAGGCCGAGCACCCGCTGGTGGCTGATGTCCCGCCTGAGGGGCACGTCGGGTACCTGCGGGGGGGGCCTCCCGCGTGGCCGGGGG